TCCTCCTCCTCCTCCTCCTCCGGCGCAGCCCCGGCGCGCCCAGCCGGAACCCGGCGAGCGCGGGGCGGAGAGGCGAGCGCGCAGAGCTGGCGGGCCCCGTCGCGTCCCCCGCGCCCCCCGCCATGTCGGCCGAGGAGATGGTGCAGATCCGCCTGGAGGACCGCTGCTACCCGGTGAGCAGGAGGAAGCTGATCGAGCAGAGCGACTACTTCCGCGCCCTCTACCGCTCCGGCATGCGCGAGGCCCTGCGCGCCGAGGCGGGCGGCCCCGAGGTGCAGCAGCTGCGCGGCCTGAGCGCCCCGGGCCTGCGCCTGGTGCTGGACTTCATCAACGCCGGCGGCGCCCGCGAGGGCTGGCTCCTGGGCCCGCGGGGCGACCAGGGCGGGGGGGCGGCGGCCGAGGAGGAGGACCTGGACGAGGCGAGCCTGCTGTCCGAGCTGGTGGAGGCGGCCTCCTTCCTGCAGGTCACGTCCCTGCTGCAGCTGCTGCTGTCCCAGGTGCGGCTCACCAACTGCCTGGAGCTGTACCGCCTGGCGCAGGTGTACGGGCTGCCCGACCTGCAGGAGGCCTGCCTGCGCTTCATGGTCGTCCACTTCCACGAGGTGCTGTGCCAGCCCCAGTTCCACCTCCTGGGCTCTCCTGCGCCAGCCCCCGGCGATGGCAGCCTGAAGCAGAGGCTGAGGGAGGCCCGGATGACGGGGACTCCGGTCCTCGTGGCCCTGGGGGATTTCTTGGGGGGACCCTTGGCCCCTCACCCCTACCAGGGGGAGCCTCCGTCCATGCTCAGGTATGAGGAGATGACGGAACGTTGGTTCCCGCTGGCCAACAACCTTCCTCCCGACCTGGTGAACGTCCGGGGTTACGGGTCTGCCATCCTGGACAACTACCTCTTCATCGTGGGCGGGTACAGGATCACCAGCCAGGAGATCTCCGCTGCGCATTCCTACAACCCCAGCACCAACGAGTGGCTCCAGGTGGCCTCCATGAACCAGAAGAGGTAAGCACCCAGCAGAGCTCTGCTGCCTCCTCCTTCATTCCCCTCCTGTTGGCCGGGCAGTCACCGGAGGCCGTGCCGAGGTGGGAATGGCACCTCCAGGACTGTTGTTGGCCTTGATGCTGGCCAAGCTCCCAATGCACTAAGGACTTTAAAGGAAGAAAAGGCCCCAAGGAAGTCTGCAAGCTGAGTGGTTTCCTTGCAGGTATTGTGCCTGTAGGCCAGCTGCGTTCTTGGCCTTTATCCCAGTGGGAGAAAACATGTTGTGGTTTCCTAAGATGCTTAAAACTGTTCTTTAATTTTGCTTTTATTTTTACCTTTTTTATTTTATTTTTTTTAGGCTCCGATCCTGATAATGATGACACATTGGGCAGTAACCTGTAACACTGACTTTGGGGGATTGTTTGTTGATGTTGTTAATGACTTTCGAGCCTCCCACACTGGAGTGCCAATCTATGATCAGGAGATGATATTTGGGATTGTGTTAATGTTACCTGTATAGGACTGTCTTTCTTATTTTTTTATCCTCTCTTTTGCATCTCACTTCCTCTCCAGATTGTCATCATTATTGACCCAAAGCTTCAGTCTGGAAGTGGTCACCTACCGTATTAGAATATTTCCACCCACCTCAACCTTCTCCCTTCCCATCCTGCAAAACCCTCCCAATATGAACTTGGGTGACTTAAACAAAGGAAGAGAAAAGGGGGGGTGGGGGTTGAGAAAGGAGTCAGGAAAGGAATAGGAAAACTGGAGCAAAGCAGATACAGGAAGAGGTGGTAGGAAATAAAGATGGTAGAGCCCAAGATGAGCCAGAGCCATTCAGAAGTGGGAGAAGAATCAATGTAACCCAAGAAAGGACAAGAATACAAGAATACCCTTTCTTCTGGTCCACCTGTATCCATCTCCAGCGCCCCATGCTTCCTGCCCTGAAGTATGGAGCAAGGAGTCAGGGGACTCACCACTTGTCAAAGAAAGTCTTAACAGGAATGGGGAAGCCATTACACGTTTACTTCACTTGAGGGGCACCCCAGGCCAGGGGGAACACTGGCTTTATTTCTAACTATAGTGTAAGTGTTCCTTTTTCTAATGATTAAAAATAATATGTAGTTATTCTAGAAAATTGGAAAAAGGAAAAGAATAAAGAAGCAGAAAGGCTATCACTGCCACTCCCTCCTTCCTAGAGGCAGTAGCCATCTACAGGTTAGCATATTTTCTTCCAGCCCCTTTTTAGCTAAGATGACATCATATTTAAAATTGGATGTCAGGAATATTATTACTATTATTTTTTAAAATATATTTTTATTGGTTTCAGAGAGGAAGGGAGAGGAAGAGAGATAGAGACATCAATGATGAGGGAGAATCATTGATTGGCTATCTCCTGCACACACACCCCCTCCCTCCACTGGGTATAGAGACAGCAACCTGGGCATGTGCTCTGACCAGGAATCGAACTGTGACCTCCTGGTTCATAGGTCAGCGCTCAACCACTGAGCCACTCCAGTTGGACAAGAATATTATTTTTAAACAAATTCTAGGAGCTTTACTTAAAGCAACAAAGAAACATTCAGTGGTTATGAGTGATGCTCAGATTAGGGGTGTAAGGCCCAGCAGGTTGTCTGTCACCTCTACACACGTGTCTTCTGCTGTATCAACTGGTGCTCAGCACGCCTCCCATAGCTCCACAACTCTCTCACTAAACCTCATAATTCTTTTCTTTCTTGACAAATCCTTGGTAGTCTTCCGTACCCCCTCCCCACCCCAAGGAATATCCTTTCTGTCCTCTTTGAAAAAAAAAAAAAGTATTTGAATAATGCCTGAATTCATGCTTAGAAAAATTGCAAATGACATGAAAAATTATTATAGAGTAAAAAATGTCTATCTATAGATATACTTATATTTAAATACATACTAATATTTATAAGTTATAAATGTATATTCATAATTATGTTGATAGTGGTTAATAGGGGAAATGTGTACATGTGGGGGTGTATATATAACATACATGTATATTTTTACTCAAATTGACTTAAGTTATGCTGATTATTATAGCACTTGATATTTCCACTTGACATTACTGTAGCTGACAGTTTTTTCTATATCAACAAACAGATCCACCCCAGCCTTGTTAATGGCTATGTAGTATTCCAGCCCGTGGATGTACCATAATGTAATTAACCTCTCCCTTATTCATGAACATTTAGATGACTGCCATTTGCCATTATAAACAATGCTATGTTGAACATCTAGGCATATGTGAGTTAGTTCTATATGGCAAATTCCTGGAAATCCTGGATAGGTGACTGGTGTGAATGTCTCTGATTGAGAGATTATTCTTTTCATATGATTGTCAGCCATTTGTATACTTTTGTAAGTGGCCTTTGCTAATTTTAAAAAAATTGGCTTGTTTATCTTTTTCATATTTATTTTGTTTTATTTATATATGTAGATATTAGTCTCTTGTCTTTTATCATAAATGCCTAAAGTGACCATGGATGTAAAGTCAATGAGTAGAGGTGGGAGTTATGATGAACCAGAGAGCTACTGCCCCACCACAAGAGGGCTCCACCTCTCAGCCACAGCTGGCTACGGTATTGCCAAATGGAAGTGAGAAATGGTGTGCCAGACATGTAGATACCCTGATTTTTAAAAATGTTGGCAGCTTACTCCATTTAAAAAACAAATAAATCAACAAAAAACAAGAAAAACTTTGCAGACCCAAAAAGTGCAGGCTCTAGTTTTGGACTTAAAGTTTATAGCATATTCTTTTTTTTAAAAAAATACATTTTTATTAATTTGAGAGGAAAGGAGAAGGAGAGAGAGATAGAAACATCAATGATGAGAGAGAATCATTGATTGGCTGCCTCCTCTACAACCCCTACTGGGGATCAAGCCCACAACTCGGGCATGTGCCCTTGACTGGAATCGAACCTGGGACCCTTCAGTCCACAGGACGACACTCTCTCCACTGAGCTAAACCAGCCAGGGCTATAGTATATTCTTATATGAAGATATTTAAAATGTTTTGCAGTCAAATTTGTTATGAATTCTTTGAACTTTCTATCTTACATAGGGAAGGATTCTACAAACTAAAAATATATAAAATATTCATCTATCTCATGATCTATTTTTTAATTTTGCCTTTTTACACTTGGATCTGAATCTGTTTGGGATTTATTTTTATTTAAGGTATAGTGTGGGGTTATAACAAGTTTTTGAAATGTCCCAGAGGCCTTAATCCTTCTCACTATGATTTGCAAAACCAGTTATTATATGCTCATTTTCTTGTTTTTAAATTGCCAGATTGTCTATTCCTGCATCAATAACACATTTTTTAATTTATGGTAGTTTGGTAATCTATGGGGTAGGCAAAAGTAGGTTTACAGTTGTGAGTGACATTCTTTTGCATTAAGAAAGCTATTGTAATAATCATAACCAGCATATCTTTTTCCATACAAATAGCTGTAAACCTACTTTTGTCCACCTACCCCTTATCTTATTTTTTGTCTAGTAAAACAAAGCCCCCTTTGTTCTGTTTTGTTTTAATTCTCTTGGCTATTTTTTGCATATCTTCTTCAGATAAGCTTTAGAGTCAGCTTGTCAAGTCCTGTTGGGATTTTGATTAGGATTATGTAGCATTAGATTAATTTGGAGGAGGATTCACAGCTTTATAATATTTTTACAGCTTGAAAAATGGTTTCTTTATCCAGGAATTATTTAGGTCTTTTGGTTCTTCATGAAAAGTTTCTTTTATTATCTTTGTAGCAGCTGTATTTTTTCTACAAATATACTTTTTAAGTTATATTTTCTAGTTGGTTATTGATGCCACATTGGAGTATGTACCCTTCTTTTATCTCCCTCAGCTTTGACTCAGATCTCACATACTATCAACCAGGAGTCCCTTCCTGAATCCTCAATTGGGTTCAAACTCTGTGTTCTTCTAGCACAATCCCACTTTGAATTTAATTTTTTTGTTTATGTTTGTCTCTCTCCCTTCCAGTTGAGTCCAATTACTTATTCAACGCTTATGTATTTCTACTGTTAAGATGGTGTCCAAAAAATAATAGATGTGTGCAATGCATGGTTTGTTGAATTGTGGCATAGATTTTTATGTTACTGTAATAAAAGCCAGTGTATAATTTTATAGTCATTTAAAATGTAACATTTTAGTGAACAGTTTAATCTTATAACAGTCACTATAGTTATTTAGAATAGCTGAAAAAATATGTAACACTTAATTGAGCACTTAGTCTGTGCTAGTTACTGTTCCTACTACTTTACATGTATAATCTCACTTATTCTTCACAAGGGCTATATTAGGCAGGTTCCCACTGTACAGAAGCAGAAACTGAGGCACCGGAAGTTAAGTAGATTGCTCAAAGTGTCTACTAGGAATAGTAACAAAAATGGAAGTACCATTTGAATGTGTACTATTGGAAGTACTACTGAATATGTATAACTATTTAGATAGCTTACAAGTAACGGCTTATAGATTGGCAGTGATCATCTTCATTCAGATTTAAAAATTTTCCTTTTAAAAAAGTATTGTCTTCCAAGAAATGGAGCATAGATATTTTATGGTACTGTGCTGCTTCTCAGAATTTTATCATGTGTGCTTCAGCTTCACCACAGCCTTTATATCCAGTATTTTTCTTGTCACCATTGGATAAACAACAAGGAGGACATAGTTCCTGGCTGCAGGAATTTATAATTGATGAGACAAGTATAAATGAAACCCACTTGTTTCTGGCTAGTGCACCCAACACAAGTTTCAGAAACACTGCAGGGAACTTAGAACCCTGAGTAAGAATGGCAGGTTTTACCCAGAATTTCCATTCACTCTGATTCATTGCTTGTGGGACGGATCTGTACCGTTTTACTTTGACCAAGGGTCAGATGCAGAGCAGCCGGCTTTCCCCAGGCCCTGAACAGTGCCACAATCCCAGGTTCTTAATTAAGGACAGCCAAGAACCCTCGGCTTAGGAGACTTTATAAAGCCCTTTGCACCCTGGAGAACATTGTGCTGAATGGCCAGCAGCAGATACAAAAATAAACGGTTAGGGCTATGCCCACACGCTTGAAAATGGCAGCGAGTCCCCATCACTCTGAGAGGATGCTTTGAAGTCCAGGCGTGCAACCCTGACCCGTGGTCCGAATGTGGATTTGATCTTGGGTGTTGTTGGGACATAGCTCTTCGCATGTAAAAGCTTGTGTGCTCACAAAATTGCTTGCTTTCCCTCCTCACTTGAATTAGCGATAACTTGCAGAAGCCGGCCATTGTGGTCACGGTCAGTTCATTAATTTCTCTATTTCTAAAGTTGCCTCTAGTCCCTTCCATTGCCCTGCACTTTTGCTGTGAAGTTGGAGTTGGGTGTGTCCTCCTGTTCTGCATGTGAACACAGCAAGGCTGAGAGAGAGACTGAACAGTCTCCTGGCAGAGGTGGCATCAGCGTTGTCGGCCTTAGCTGTCCCCTGCCCTCTGCGCCAAAGTTTAGTATTTTAGAGCATTTCTAGAGTCCTGGAGCCATCAAGAGATTTTGTACTCTGGTTAATGTTCGGTGGAGCCTGAGAATAGTGGGAAAGCAAGCAAGCTACGTGTCTATTCACCCTCACCCTCTCCCTCCTCCTTCCCCCCGCCCCCCCGCCGCCAATATAATTTTGGCCAGTAGTGTAAATTGCTTTGTGCACTGAAGTTTCTCAGAGATGGCGGTAGGTAGGAACCATGACTGATTCTGTTTCCTAACCTCTCCCCTCTCTTCTTCCTGGTCCCCGGGGGAGGTTACTACATAAGGAAGTGGCAGAAAGTAGGCAGCAGAAGGGGAGAGAGGAGGCAGAAGGACCTGGAGGGTCCTCAGACTATACAATCCTCTTCTGAATGGCTGAGAAAGGACCTTGGCATTTCACTCTAATTTTCACTGTAACGGTAACAGACTTTTCTATGCAATTCATAGCAATGAATTGAGCTCGTACTCTGGGTACTGTGGTCACTACTTTAGATGTCAATTCCTATTTCATGCCCACAGCATCTCTGTGAGGTAGGTATTATTATTGGTCCCATTTCCCCAAAGGGGAAACTGAGGCTAACTGAGTTTAATTAACTTGCGTGTAGTCACAGGGCCAGTACTCTATCTCCCTACAGTTGTATACAGCTATCAATCATTGATATTTGTGCACTGGTGTTTATCATGATTTTATGTAACTTAGCTTTTAAGGATTTTTTTTTAAAGAATATGTGTGTTTTTTTTTTATTGATTTTAGAGAGAGTGGAAAGAAGAGGGAGATAGAAACATTGATCAGAGAGAACATTGATCGGCTGCCTCCTGCATGCCCCCTACTGGGGATCGAGCCCACCTCCCAGGTATATGTCCTAACTGGAATTGACCCAGCTACCTCTCAGTGCATGGGACAGTGCTCAATCCACTGAGCCACACTAGCCAGGGCTAGCTTTTAAGGATTTAAAGAGCATTGTATTTCTTCTAAGTGAAGTAGAAATTAAATCATTGAATTTTTCTTACTTTCCTTTCTGTTTACTATAAGTAAGTCAAGTATGTAGCTCCAACAAATTATCTGGTTTTACAAATTCTTCTTGTTGCCTCCTGAATGTATTGTCAGGGATCAGTATTAAGAAAAACACTGCAGAGGTCTTAATTTTAAAAATAATTTATAGCTTGAATTCATACCTTTACCATTCAGGAAATGAAGAGTGGAAGAATTATTTTCAGAAAATTGGAAATGAGGCGGTAAATGACAAGAATTTATGAATGAGAGAGCACTTGGTACAGAATCCCAGAGTGCATCACGGCCAATAACAGTTGTAGTTGACAAATGAGAAACCGACCCTCCTGAAGTGGAGAAACTCAGGCGTAGGACATGCAGAAACGCATTTCCTCTAAGTGATCTGTTTCTGCAGGTGTGACCCTTTTCAACCCTTACCACGTGCAATATTGTGCTCTTCTTATCCCCACTTCACAGGTAGGGAAACTGAGGCTCAGTGACGTGTCCATGGTCACATAGCTGTTGAGCAGTGGAGCCGAGATTTCCCTGTACGAGCCTGGGCTCAGACCCCTTAGCAGTAGGCCTCTTCATTAAGAGGTCTGTTTTGGGGTGGCAGTTTCATCTGGACACAATTCAGTGTAGAAAAATGTTCCCCTTCAAGTGAATTTGAGCATGTTGGGGTCTGGAGAGATAGCATTTACTTTTAACTGCCTATTCATTCAGCCTCAAAAAGAAGCCCCTTGCATGTTTGCTCAGGACAAATGATGCTACTGGTTGAATACTAAGAACTGTTTTGATCTGACAAAATTTACTATCTGTGTACCTACGGGGAGCAAAAACAAATTGTGGGCTGGTAAAATTTAGTGCTTATTTACAAGCTTTATTTCCCTTGGTTCCCCAAATTTGCACGCATAGGGAGGGCATCATGGTCAGATTTTAAGGACCATTGGCAGCAGGAAAAGTAAGCAACATGAATCAGGGACCCCCCAGTAGTTGCCGCCTCTGTGAGGTCTGTTGGCATGAAAAATGGAATGGCTGGCTGGGTTTAATAGACAATATGGGCTTCTTGATGAAGAGGACTCTATTCACTCTCTGATTTGAAAAGCAAAACTAAACTAAAGCTTAGGTATAAACATTACAAGCACTTAAAAAAATCTTAGTTTTCTAGTAGGTGGCTATCACTCACATATGTCCTGAATCCTAATGCATCGGTGTTTATCAAACACCTTTAGGTCAGGTCTGGTCCACTGGTGCACTGCGCTGCTTCATCTACCCTCTTACATACTTTGTTCCTATGTAGCCTCTATCCCCATTCTTTCTTTGGATATTGTTACTTTTGAAGAAATCATTGTCTTGGCATTAGACGTGGCCTCTAAATTCACCTGGTCAAGCCTCTTTATTTCATACTAGAGGCCCAGTGCACGAAATTCATGCATGGGTAGGGTCCCTAGCAGCTGCCAGCTGCCAGCCGGGCCCTTCCTTCGTTTTGCGCTGCCCCCTGGTGGTCTGCGCACATCATAGCAAGCAATCAAACTCCCGGTCAGTCGAACGCCCAAGGGAACACTTTGCATATTAGGCTTTATATATATATACATATAGAAAATGGAGAAACTATAATGCTAGTAGGTTATCTCTGTGTAGTATTTTCTGGCCAATTGTTTGCTCTAATTGTTTTGACCACCCTGTGCTGGTTATTACCCCTGTGGTAGAGATGAGGAAGTGAAGGGTTGGGCCCAGGTCAGTAGCTGGTTATCAGCAGAGCTGGGACTCAAACCCAGTGTTCTGATTTTTGCCCCGGGTCTTTCTGTTGCATCATGCTGCTGCTCATACTATTGTGACTGGCCCAGCACTTCCAAATGTTTCTCCTTCCCCCTGTGCTGAAGCCTATGAGCAGCGTTTAATTCTATTACTGAATATGGGGCTTGAAATCAGTGTATTTCTCTTTTTAAAAATCATTTAACGCTATGATAGGTGAGCACTTGTTGATATAAGTATTTGTTGAGTTAACATGTATAAGTACCCTAAGAATGCTGGGTCAAAATGGTTTTAATCAGTTCAGTGCTTACCTGCCCACCTTACCTGTTTTTTTTTTTTTTTTTAAATATATTTTATTGATTTTTTACAGAGAGGAAGGGGAGAGATAGAGAGTTAGAAACATCAATGAGAGAGAAACATCGATCAGCCACCTCCTGCACATCTCCTACTGGGGATGTGCTGGCAACCCAGGTATATGCCCTTGACCAGAATCGAACCTGGGACCTTTCAGTCTACAGGCCGACGCTCTATCCACTGAACCAAACCGGTTTCGGCTCACCTTACCTGTTTTGAAGCACCATATAAGATGCCCTCCTATGGAGGAGGGAGGAACAGCAATCTCCTTTGGTGTGCTCTCGGTAATGGGGTCTCTGAATCACCCTTTAGCAACCACACTTTGCATATGCCTGTCTGTGTAAGCAGTGCTGGTGATTACCTCGGATAGAGCCTACCCACAGAGTAGGAAGAATGAGGTAAACATTTTGAGTAGAGAGAGACAAGGGAGTGGTGTGGGTGCTTTTCTCCCTTAACCCTTGGTCTTGCTCCTGAAAAGAAGGTATTGAGTTTAGTAAACAGAGTAACTTTGGTTCTGGTGTAAGGCTAAGCAAGAGCAGTTCTTGTTATATTGAACTGCTTATCTTCAGTTGCTAAAGTTTGGAGAATGCACCATTCTTGTGGACTTTTGGGGACAAGAGTGAAATTTGAGATGCCCTTTGGCCATTCCTCGGTCCCCAGGCAGAATGTCACCCAACATGGAGAGCGAATTTTCTTCTTCTGTCCAACAGGTTCCACACCCTTGTTTGGCAGTTCCTGCCATTGTCTTATTTCTTCATGATCAAGAGAACTGACTTTGTGAACCCTTGTGTTCTGTCTTTCAGGTCTAACTTCAAACTTGTGGCCGTTAATTCAAAACTCTATGCCATTGGTGGGCAGGTCGTTTCTAATGTTGAGTGTTACAATCCTGAGCAGGATGCGTGGAATTTTGTGGCACCCTTACCCAATCCTCTGGCTGAGTTCTCTGCGTGTGAGTGTAAGGGGAAAATTTATGTCATTGGAGGATATACGACCAAAGGTAAGTGAAGGGGCCAAGTAAGTGGTCCTCTTATATGTCAGCTTTGCAGGCAGCCTGGGAAGGGCAGAAGCTGCCAGAGGAAACACTCCAGTGTACACAAGTGTGATTTTGTGCATTACGTACTGTGTATTTACACATCTGGAAGGAAGCGAGTCCTATGTGACAGGGTGGTTTGGACAGGAGGGGCCTTTGATGCCTTTGAATAGGGTAGGGAGAACTGTGAAGAAAATATGTATTTCTGCTCTGGAAAGCTAGCCTTATAGTTTGTCATCTTAAGACTTGGCTGGGTCATTCCCATCCTTTTTCCCAACACACATGAATCCCCCGCATCCAGCACTATGGGATTCAGTGCCAGACATCCTTGCAGAGTTTTGTTTTCATTTGCTCCCGTTTTGAGCACAAACATATGAGCTGTAGATTCTGAAATGCAGCTCTCAGCTGTTGCTTACACACCATAGGAGGAGTAAGAGAACATGATATGAGAAGATTCTTTTCTGACCGGTAGGTGGGAGGTGGTTCTGCTATTTATTAAACTGTGCATATATTTTTTCACATTTTTGGTGGGCATTTTATAGTTAACTAGAGGCCTGGTGCACGAAATTAGTGCACTTGTGGGGGAGGGAATCCCTCAGCCCAGATTGTGAGAGGGTGCAGGCCAGGCCGAGGGACCCCACCGGTGCATGATCAGGACCGGGGAGGGACACGGGAGATTGGCCAGCTGGGGAGGGACCGCAGGAGGGCTCCAGGGCATGTCCGGCCCTCTCGCCCAGTCCCGATTGGCCAGACCCCAGCAGCAAGCTAACCTACTGGTGGGAGTGTCTGTCCCCTGGTGGTTAGTGCATGTCATAGCGAGCAGTTGAGTGGCCTTAGCATATCATTAACATATTACACTTTGATTGGTTGAATGGCCGACTGGATGACCGGACACTTAGCATATTAGGCTTTTATTATATAGGATAATTTGGAGATAAAAGTTTCTCCAGCAGGTTTTATACGGCTCTTTATAGTAGGGAGCCCCTCAGATTATTGGCAGAACACAGCTTGGCTGTGGGAAGAAAGACAATGGCAGGCCACCAGGAGGAGGTGCCCTTCCTTTGATCTCTCACCTCACCGATAAAGCTGCTGTTTCCAAGTCATCTCCTGGCTGGCCAAGGAAATTTATTTCTTCATTTGCTCTATCTGACTGTAGAATGTCCAGAATTTTCAGAAAAGGAATAACTGGACTCCTAGGACTTTGGGCCACATTGAAGTCCCAGTGATCACTCTATTTGACATAATGAGATAACCTGTCACTTCTCTGTGGTGTGACATGGGCAGGACAGGCCTGGGGAAGTGATGCTGGTGGCCCACTGAGCTGTATGCGACCACATGTAACATTGTATAGGACACGTGCTGATACAAGCGCAGGTGACAAACATTCTTTTCACCATAACCAAATGTGTCCTGTTTTGGGGATTTATGTTAGAGGAAGAAGTTGAATGTAAGGTGTTTTATGACCATCTGATTCACTTTTTTTTTTTATTAATTCTTCTTAGAGCGAACTCTAAACAGATGCTCTGGTGGGGAGGGTGGTGGGTGCTGTGTTAGTTTCCCGTGGCTGATTTAACCACTGACCATGAACTTGGTAGCCTAAAACAGCAGAAACGTGTGTTCTCACATAGTTCTGGAGACCAGAAGTCTTAAATCAAGGTGTCGGTAGGGTCTCACTCCCTCAGAAGCTCTAGAGGAGAATCATTTCTTTCTTTTTAATATGTTTTGATTGATTTTAGAGAGAAATAAAGAGGGAGTGAAACATGTGAGAGGATGTGAGAGAGAAACATCGATTGGTTGCCTCCCATATGCACCCCAACCAGGGGTCGAACCCACAACCTGGGCATATGCTCTGATCAGGAATCCAACCAGTGACTTTTTGGTGGTACATGGGATGGTGCTCCAACCAACTGAGCAACCGGCCAGGGCGAAAATCCTTTCTTGCTACTTGCAGCTCTGGTGGCTTCAGGTGTACCTTGGCTAGTGGCTGCATAGTGCTCATCTCTGCCTTTGTCTTCATGCATCTTCTTCTCTGTCCGTGTCTTTTCTTCTTCTGTCTCTTTCAAGAACACGCTTCTCACTGGATTCAGAGCCCACCTGAGTAATCCAGGATGATCTGCAAAGACCCATTCTCCAAACAAGGTCCCATTCCAAGGTTCTGGGGGTTAGGAGGTGGACATACCTTTTTGAGGGCCACCATTAAGCTCACTACCGGTGGTGTGTTTGTCTAGGCATTTAAGGAGAGGCAGTGACAAGGAGCAGTGCAGGGAAACAGTGAGCTTCCCCCTCCACCCAGGCTTCCATCACCCGTGGAGCTATTCCCAGTGTCCCTCCCTAGTGACTCTCCACTGAAGATAATTACCAGCTTTTCCTTTACAAATAATTGGGCGGGGGGTGGGGGGGGATGAAACCTAGCACTCAATTCTTTTCTATTTTTATTTTGTTAATCCTCACCAAAGGATATTTTCCTTTTGATTTTTTGAGAGAGTGGAAGGGAGAGGGAGAGACAGAGAGAGAGAGAGCAGTATCGATGTGAGAGAGACATATCGATTGGTTGCCTCCACATGCACTCCCTGACCAGGGCTAAGGATCAGCCTACAACTGAGGTACGTGCCCTTGACCGGAATTGAACCCGAGACCCTTCAGTCTATGGGCCAATGCTGTATCCACTGAGCCAAACCGGCTAGGGCTCAATTCTTTTATCTTCAACATTGGTGTTCAGGTTGAGTGGCCAACTTTATATGCTTACGTAAACCATAGCCTCCAGAGAATTCCTGTGTGTGCATATGTACCCCCGTGTTCGTGTCTTTTCTCTGAAGACAGTAAGTACAGCTATTCACTCGTGAACATTTCTAAGAAATTATGATTCCCCTCTGGCTGTTGTAACACAGCGTGCGCCCGCTGGGCTGACCTACGCACACAGATCTCTGAGCCTCCCTCCTGAGCGAGAGCTGTGAAGCCTGGCAGGCCGCACTGTGACCCAGAGTGCCCTGCTGGTAGATGTCCCAGTTTTTCCATGACCCTGGCTGAGCCAGTGTTCTTTAGATTTGACCTGGAAAACCCCTGCTTGTGTGTTTTCTAGTTTCAAAAGCCACGGCTAATGTACCTTTTTCACTCGGGCCACCCACTGTGATTCCTGTCCCAGGTTCCGCAAGCCAAATGCCCATGATGGGCTGGTTAGGTGAGGTGGATGGAGGGATGTTTGTGTAAGCGTTGAAAACGAGTTTTCTAAGATGAGAGGGCAGGGCAGTTCCTTGTACGCTGAAGCTGTCCTCTCCACTGGTTAGTCTCTTCCCAGCATTTCCTAATAGTTCTTTGTACATAAAACAAACCATAATTGTTATGAAAAAAAAAAAAGAAAAACCCACAGGACTTGAAATTGGGTTCTCAGCCTGTTGACTTCATTAGGTGAGACTTTTAAAATTCAGAAAGTTATAGTTCATGATTTTTATGATAGTTATTTAACTATTATAATTCTTGGGCAGGCACTGAAGACTTAAAAGAAAATTCATTCGAAAGTAATAGTAGCTACTGAAGGGAAGAAGGGTAATTTGTTAAATGTCAGAATCAACTCTACATGTAAAAGAGAAACGATCACTCCTTCAACTCAAACCACCTCCTCATGGTCTGAGCCTTTGTTGGGTGAGGAGAGAAAACATTTACAGGAGACCTGGGAAGACCTTCTGACCTGGAACTGAGAAGTACACTGACGCTTCACCAGAATAAGTCCTTTATTCATGCCATGTGAAGCCAGGTTACTAAGGAGCACTTTCTGATAGATTAGCAACCAAATTCCCCGGGGCTGTCTCCTAGAATGAGCTTTGTCACAATAGCTGCAATAAAAAGAAATATAGGGAGGTATTGGTGTGGGTGGGAAACAGGAGGACAGTTCCCTAAAGCTGTAGCAGTTCTGATATTCCTGCAGGTCTGGGCGTGTGCAGGGTTGGTCTCCTCTCTGCTCCCTCTGTGCCCCCTTTGGAGGCACTTGTCTTGGCACCAGACATCGTGGTGGGGCTCTTTAATCGTTGCCCTCTGTGGCGGGTCCTTCTGGCTCAGGTAGAAGTGCTGCTCCCACTGCTTCCACTTCTGCAGCCGTGGGAAAGCTGTACACTTGTGCGTGCAGTCAGTTCCCCAGCTGAACTGTCTTACACTGATAGACTGTGTTGTTTCTTTAAAACACAACACACAGCCCTGGCTGGCTTGGCTCAGTGGAAGGAGTGTCGGCCTGTGGCCTGAAGGGTCCCAGGTTAAATTCCAGGCAAGGGCACATGCCCGGGTTGCGGGCTCGATCCCCAGAAGGGGGCATGAAAGAAGAAGCCAATGATTCTCTCTCATCATTGATGTTTCTCTCTCTCTCTACCTCTCCTTTCCTCTCTGAAATCAATAAAAATATATTTAAAGAATAATAAAATAAAACACAACACACAGAAAGTTCATTCTTTCTGATAACTCGGCACTTCCTTCTCTCCCCCTACGAGGCTAAAATAGTCTATTTATTCTTTCCTAGAGGAGAAAAGAAAAAAAGAAGAAAAATGAAACTAGATATATATTTATTATTATTATTATTATCATTATTATTTTAATCCTTAGTTGAGGACATGTTTAGAGAGGGAAAGGAAGAGAGAGAGATTGGTGTGAGAGAGAAACATTGATCAGTTGCCTTCTGTAGGCTCCCCAACTGGGGATCAAACCCACAACCCAGGTTTGTGTCCTGACTGGGAATCCAGCCAGCAACTTTTCGATGCACGGGATGAAGCTCAACCACCTGAGCCACTCTGGCAGGGCAAAACTAAATATTTTAAATTTCACAAGCATTTTTAAAAAGAGCACGCAGTGCTTCCCTCCATTCAAACTAATGTCAGAGCAAGCAGTCTCCCCTCTACTATCTGATTTAATCCACACAATGACTGTCGCCTGTGAAATGGGCCAGGGAGAGGGAAGGGCCTTTGTCAGTGTGTCTCTGGGACAATTGGGAAGTAGAATTGCCAGTGATTCTATGGCTTGACAACCAGAGGTGAGACTTGCATTTCTCCTGACTTTTTCTGTCCTTCCTTTTTGACAACCCATAAAAATCCTGCTCACTTGTCTGGTTTTGTAGAATCCGTTGTCAAGAATAGATCCCTGGGGGCTCAGCCTGCCTGTATTAAATAGTCAGTAGTCTGTAGATATTGATGAAGTTTCTGAGGCTCTGATTCTCTTTACATTAATTGGCTTGGTGGTTCTAAAAGGTGTAAGGGCCTGGCTGCCGTGGTTCAGTGGATTGACCTTTGAACCAGGAGGTCACGGCACATGCCTGGGTTGCAGGCTGGATCCCCAGTATGAGGTATACAGGAGGCAGTCGATCAGTGATTCTCTTTCATCATTGATGTTTCTTTCTCTCCCTCTCCCTTCCTCTCTGAAATCAATAACAATATATATCTTTTTAAAAAAAACCCAACAACAAGATTCTGTCAAAGAATCAGAAGACAGACATAAAAAGTGTCTTTAAAAATAAACAACCGCCAAAACCGGTTTGGCTCAGTGGATAGAGCGTCGGCCTGCGGACTGAAAGGTCCCAGGTTCGATTCCGGTCAAGGGCATGTACCTTGGTTGCGGGCACATTTCCAGTAGGAGATGTGCAGGAGGCAGCTGATCGATGTTTCTCTCTCATCAATGTTTCTAACTCTCTATCTCTCTCCCTTCCTCTCTGTAAAAAAATCAATAAAATATATTTAAAAATAAATAAATAAACAACCAAATAAATAAAAGGTGTAAGAGTGCCAGGGAGGAGGGGACGTGCCCAGATCACAACTGCTCACCTTGCTGGTCTTACTGATTCTGAGAGCGTCGCAGGGAGGGGACATGTGTGAATGTGAAGTGAGTGGGGACGATTCTAAACGGATCTCCTCCCAGCCATTTACAAAACTGTTCCCAGCCTCTGCTTGTCTGAAATAGCTGTGCCTCTGTGGACCAGGTTATCAGGGGGAGGTAGGCAGTTATATGCAGCCTAGGAAGTTGGTGGTGTTACTTGTGGCCGTGTCATTATTTGGCTTCTTTTCTCGTTTCAGACCGGAACATGAACATTCTGCAGTACTGCCCCTCCTCCGACATCTGGACCCTCTTTGAAACATGTGACGTCCACATTCGCAAGCAGCAGATGGTGTCGGTGGAGGAGACGATCTACATCGTGGGAGGGTGTCTCCACGAACTGGGACCCAACCGGAGGAGCAGCCAGAGTGAGGACATGCTCACCGTGCAGTCCTACAACACTGTCACCCGGCAGTGGCTCTACCTCAAGGAGAACACGTCCAAGTCGGGCCTCAACTTGACTTGCGCGCTGCATAACGACGGCATCTACATCATGAGCAGAGACGTGACCCTGTCGACCAGCTTGGAGCATCGAGTTTTCCTCAAGTACAACATCTTCGCAGATAGTTGGGAAGCATTTAGGCGTTTTCCGGCCTTTGGACATAACTTGCTGGTTTCCTCTCTTTATCTGCCTAATAAAAAGGAAACATGACTGAATCAACTTAGTACTTACAAGAAGCCTGGTTCAAGACAAATATAAAATGTAGGGCCCCATTTCCAAGGAGGCTGACTTCATAGGTCACATATACAACAGCTGTAAATAAGCTTACTTGAACTAATTACTTGAAAACTTGTGGAGAAAAGAGACCAACATTATTATTTTTTTAATTATTGGTTTTTAAATTATGGGAGCAAATCCATGATCATGTTTTCATCCAGCTATGATAACCTTGGGCCAATGACGAAAGCTGATCATTGAAAAGAAGATTCATTGTGTCTGCTTAGTAAAGGGCCAAAGTCAGTACTTGGTGCGAATGGTAGAGATAATTTTGAAATCTGTTTTATTTCGGTCACTTGAAATATCCTAATACCTTAAGTGAAAGTGTTTTTTTTTTTTGGTTATTAATTTACTTGACAAACATTTATATTAACACTATTGTCTCCACCTTTCCCCCAGTTATAACCACATATACTGTGTTCAGGTATCATTTGCACACTACCTTCTAGGAAACATACAATGATGGAACCCTATAGTGAAGTCTTGCAAACATGCAGTCCTCCCCAAAACTTGCATAAAAACTTTCTCAGCGATTTTTCCAGCCTTTTTTGCAATTACAAATGCTGAGTAAATAGGCAGATATAACTGCTTATTTCATTTATGTGGCAGGTAGCAGATATATGTGGCCAGAGAAGTTGCATTGCTTATTGTTTAATAGAGAATATATTGTTTAGAGGGATGCATTCATATGTATTTTAAAGTGGAGCCTTAAATTCAGAGGGGAAGAAAAGGAAACACCAAATAAGAAAAATAATCACCTTTTAAGAGTTACTTTTATTGAATGTATTTGACTTAGTTCTTTTTTTTTAAGACTGAAAAAATAACCTTATATTTAGACCAAGCATCTTTCTAACTTAATTTTAGCCTTTTAATTCACGCTTTGCTTTGGTGGGGTAGGGTGAGGAAAGCTGTGAACGGCCTGTGCTGGAGAGGGGGCGAGGCTCTGATAGAAGTGGAGTGGCATCTGGTGCTATTTCTGAAGTTAGGTAAGGAGCTCTACTTGATTGTTAAATCCAACGGAGCCCCGTTCAAGCACTTTCGTGTTTTCAGTAAGTCAGTTAACAGTGGATAAAAGCTTCTGCCCATGATAGATCAGCATTTCTTAAAAAACACACACGTATTTACAGAAATTTTGTTTTGATTGGAAAACACTTTCTGAACTTCTCTGATGTTTTGTAACGGAATCAGGTCAGCTGTGCACTGGATTCCATCCTAACATTCCAGCTACAGTGCGCCTCACTTCAGGAGAGCCCCGCAGCAAAGCAGACAGGGTTAGGGCACGCTCATCACGGCAGACGCTTCCCACGTGCCTCCAGGGGCGTGCACCGTGTAGACGGGGTCTAGGGGCGCTACTGTGTCAAAGTTCATGTCTTTCAGGGCTCACTCCAGGGTATCTACAATCGTGGCCTCCTGGCATATCTAAAAGGAGGGTCTGGCTGTACAAACGTCATTTGCACAACTTTTCAGGAACACTGCTAGGTAAAATGAGGTAAGCCCTTATTGTGGCCATGGAGACAGATCTTTGTATCTTGTCACCAACTAATCCTACCAGTACTCAGAAATCTAGTTCAGGGTTTCTAAGTCATATCCATTTATTCTCAAATACTTAGCCCTTTTTTTTTTAGACTTTGCGCTGAAATGTTCCTGGGAATGGTACTTTAACAATAGGTTCATATTACTTTATATTCATTATAGAATTGAATTTCTAGTGACCTATAATTTCATTACATGTATTTAAAAATATAATTTATTTTAGATAGTGTTAACTTCTGTTGCTACAGAGCTTAACTTTTTAAGGCTTGACATTATATATTTAGAAGATTCTGGCCAGTTGAATTAGTTCTGGACAAGCAATTGGATACTAGCTTATAAATATTATATAAAATGCAATGTTAATCCTGCCAACCAGTTCTCTTCCTGATTACATTCTTTGGGTCCATTTTCCTAAAGCCAACAACTAGATTCTTGGCCCAAGTGAAGGCATACCCTGATCCACAAAGCTCTTTTTATAAATCAGGTTTGCTGTGTGTGTACATGTGCATATATCTGTGTGTGTGTGTGTGTGTGTGTGTATACACATGTATAGGCTGAGATATTATAACTCTGAGATATGCAGACTTTTAAAAAGGTTTTGTTGCTCTGGGCTGCCAGCAGTGTGGGGCAAGGTGGAATGTCCAATAGGAACCGACCAGTGGACTTGGGACATCCTCCTTCCTGTGGTGCACATGAGCTGTGTTGACATTTTGAGGGTCATTTTAATTTAGCTCTGTTCCCATGTTGGTGCCATGTTCCAGTGAAGACTACCTATGTGAAAAGTGAAGTTGCTTTGAAAATCTCCCCTCACCCCCAGGATTTTGCTTTTTGATACAATCCCTCTGTTTTCTTTCTTTCTCTAAAGGTGTTTTCTTTTCTGAGATGCTTTTTGTGGGATGCTCACCTCCCATTATGGGAGGAGGTTCCTGGGGGGATCCCTATGGTGGCCACCCTGCCAGAAGCACCCTCGTTCACTGAGAATGGTCTGAATGGCAGAGAGTGAGCCCTGACCCTGAGCGTGGATTGGCAGAGGGGCATTACTGGTTCTTTCTGTCATCCTTTCTGGCTGTCTTTTCAACATTTGTAGTTTCAGAGGCTTCTCCCTTTCGTGTTCTTTGAAAGTTTTTCAGATGAATGGGTAAGAGTTGATTATTTCAACAGTATTAGTTAAGTCATAACCATGAAGTACTTAGAAGGTGATGGATACTAGTAGGAAACAAGCAGATTAAGATGACGCCTGAATACCAAAGAGAGTTAAACTCTGCCATTTATTTTGGAATCCAAATCTCAAGTAATTCCAAATGCCTTAGATATCAATTAAAGTCATGCTGAGATAGACAAATCTCAAGCAAACGATCAAGAAAATGCTTGTTCTCTTTCAGTAAACGCTCTCACTGAGCACTGTGGATGCCGTGCTTTCAAGGTTCCAGGTAAAAGCGTGACTCTGCTGCTTGGCAGCACAGGTAGTTGGAGGGGGAAGGCCTTGGCCTTCCTGGTCAGCCAGCGGGCAGTGAGCAATGGCTTAAAGCAGAGCATTCGAGAGGCAGCATAGCCACAGAAAGGTAACGGGTGAGCGTGGCATGCCTTCCAGCTGGGGGTGGGGCACATCTGTGCCATCCTTCTTTCAAGGTGGCTTTCCGAGCGAGCGGCACTCCTTTCCTCTGTGCCAGGACTGGGCTGTAGAATCCATGTCATCAACACGTTTAGGCATCCATTGCCGTCCGTCAGGGAGATGAAGTCTATTTGTCGTCCCCGCCTTGGAGGACTCACTGAATGAGGTGAGTAGGTAGTTCCCAAAATGGCTTTGAAAGCAAGGAGTCAATTGAGCCCAGTTCCCAGAAATGTGTACAGTGTGTCTATCATGTGCAAGACAATGCTAAGAACTGGGTGTACAGATTTCAATGTGCCCCCATCTCTGACCTTGAAGAGCCTACCACCTTGTGAAAATGGTCACTGTAATCATGATAGAGTGCCCCTCAAAGATGCCCACTTGTGTCAGACACACAGGGCCTCTGGCTTGGCTGCCTCTTCAGTCCTGGTCCAATCTGTCCATTAGTGAGTTACTAACAGTCATGAAACAGCTTTTCTGTAAGTTTGATCATCACACTTTTGTTTTGGATGGTATGCTTTTTTTCCTCACTACATTCCATAGTCTTTTCTGTACTTCATTTATTTTGGGGGAAAAAATTATGTGATCTTTATTTAAAAACTAGAGGGCCAGTGCATTCAAGGAGGGGAGTCCCTCAGCTCGGCCTGCACCCTTTAGCAGTCTGGGTGCCCTCAGGGGATGTCCGATTGACGGCTTAGGCCCGCTCCTGTGGGTAGCAGGCCTAAGCGGTCAGTCGGACATCCTTAGCACTGCTGTGGAGGCGGGAGAGGCTCCTGCCACTGCCACTGCACTGACCAGCCATCAGCCCAGTGTGGGAGCACACTAACCACCAGGGGGCAGCTCCTGCATTGAGCGTCTGCCCCCTGGTGGTCAGTGTGCATCATAGTGACTGGTCATTCTGCTGTTTGGTCGATTTGCATATTACCCTTTTATTATATGGGATGTTTACTAGGCACCACAGCCCACGTAGCTAAGAGCTCAGCAGCTTGAGCCCTTGAAATGGAGGAGCAAAGCTAGGGAAGTGGGTATAGAGAGAGAGGCAAGCTATTTGCATGTGCATTTATACCTATGCCTTTAAAACACTTCCATAACAAGTATTAATAAAGAAACTATCCTTAAGACACTAGTGCTGACTAAAAGTCAGTTGATTTTGCCTTTGTGCTATCCAAGGGTATTTTCCATCTGTATGTTTCATTCACATAAGAGTGTGTGTTTTTCATTTTCTTGTGTTCACTTTGGAGCATGATATAAAATACACACCCATTGACACAGGCACTTGATAAAACCATTTTCATTCATTCCTACAGGAGACAGATGAATTGTAAAGGATTGTCAATTCTGAGGAGCAAAAGTGCAGTCATTACTGTGGTAGGATTGACTGGTGCTTTCTAAAAATGGATGTCATAGTTTGTTTCTAGTAAAGAAATGGAAAATGTAATTTGTATTGTGTCATTTTTCTAAAAAAAAATTAGGGGGCTCCTTAGATGTCTATACAATGTTTTCATATCCAGTGGTCATGTTGGGAAAAATGATAATCTGTAGAATGAATAGTTCTGTTTTGTTATGACTGATACTTTGTTATAAAGGTTGTATTGAGTCTTCAATTTCAAGTGTGGCTTCCCGTGTAAACATTATCATATGGTTCATTTAAATGCAATGATGCCTATGAAAGCACTTGCCCCAACAGCATTCATTTTGTGTTTAGAACTCTAGGAGAAAATCTCTTCAATAAAGTAGTTCTCAATCAGCTTTTGTTGTCTGTTAGGTACTTATACCAGCTGTGTCCTCTGGGCTGTGCCAAAGCCGGG